TATGGAATTGAATTTTGGAAGCCTGGTAGTGGAATCATTCATCAAATTGTTTTAGAAAATTATGCGGCACCTGGGATTCTTATGCTCGGAACAGGTAGCAATATGTTTCAGTGAAAATAAACTTTTATAAATTGCTATCAATTAATTTATATCATCAAAAATAGATAGTCATACTCCGAATGCTGGAGGGTTAGGAATGATAGCAATTGGAGTTGGCGGTGCTGATGCTGTGGACGCTATGGCAGATATACCATGGGAACTTAAAGCACCTAAAATTCTTGGTGTAAGGTTAACAGGAAATTTGAATGAATGGACAAGCCCTAAAGATGTTATACTATATCTTGCCGGAAAGTTGACTGTTAGAGTAAGAAACTGTCGAGTATTTTCGGCTATACAAATTTTTTTTATAATGTGAATTTATAATGAATAATGTACATGTAGGGTGGAACAAATCATATAATTGAATACTTTGGCACGGGAGTCGAAACATTATCATGCACTGGGATGGCCACAATATGTAATATGGGAGCAGAGGTATTAGGCCTTACATTTTTCACATATATTTTTTGCAATGTAACTCACATTCATAATTTGTTCAGGTTGGAGCTACCACATCCTTATTCCCATTTACTCCTAGCATGTACTCTTACTTAACAGCAACTCGACGTCACCCAGTCGCTAAACAAGCACAGTCAAATGCGTCTTTTCTAAGGGCTGATGTTGATGCAAAATATGATCAGGTTATAGAAATTGATCTATCAGAGCTTGAACCTCATATTAATGGACCTTTTACACCTGACCTATCAACACCATTGAGCAAATTTTCGCAATTTGTCGAAAAGAATGGATGGAAAGACGAGATTAAAGCAGGGTTAATAGGAAGTTGCACTAATAGCAGCTATCAGGTGATAAATAATGGAATAGAAAATAATTTGTTAAATCACGGTTAGGTGGATTAAAATTTTGATTTATTTTATTTAACTTTTTCCGAACATATGCAGGACATGAGTCGTGTGGTTAGTTTGGCTGCGCAAGCACTTGATAAAGGCATAAAGCCAAAGGCAAATTTCTTCATTACACCCGGTAGTGATCAAATTCGAGCAACTATGGAGAGAGATAAGCAGACTGCCATCTTAGAGGAAGCTGGTGGTCGCATGCTGGCTAACGCCTGCGGGCCTTGTATAGGACAGGTGGGAAGAATGCTGTTCTTGAAAAGGCGAAGGATTTATGTTTATTAATTATTTTCTTATTGTGTAATCGATCTTATAGTGGGATCGAACTGACATTGAAAAGGGTGAACAAAATGCAATATTGACATCTTATAATCGAAATTTTACGAGTAGGAATGATGGAAATCCATCTACGATGAATTTCTTAGCTTCTCCAGAGGTAGGTGAGAAGGAATATATATATATATCTATATCATACGTGACTGAATTTGATGGTTTTACTCGTAATTAGATTGTCACCGCAATGACCTTCGCAGGCAGATTATCTTTCAATCCGATTACAGATACTTTAACAGATGGGGATGGTAAACCATTCCAGTTTTCTAACCCGCACGGAAATGAATTGCCACCTCAAGGATTTGTTAAAGGTACACTGTTTCTGCATAATAACTTCTGGGATAAGATTTCTAATGGTGAACATAATTTCTATTCAAAGGAAAGCAATCATATGAGCCATCTCCATCGATAAAGGCTAATCCAGAAGTCGAAATTAAAATTTCGCCGGACTCAAGTCGACTTCAGCTACTCGAACCGTTCCCAATATTTGAGGGCAAAGAATTTCATAACCTACGTGTATTGTTAAAAGTGAAAGGTAAATGTACGACAGATCACATATCGGCCGCTGGGCCCTGGTTGAAATATAAGGGACATTTGGAAAATATTTCGAATAATACGTTGATTGGCGCCTTGAATGCTGACAATGGAAAGGTTAATGTCGTTAAAAATGTATTGACCGGTGAGGTATGTCATTTTATTTAAAATGATTTGTTTTAAAATCCTACATGATCCTTAATTTCTTTTCTTTCAGGATGGCACAATACCAGAAGTTGCAGCCTATTATAAAGACAATAATGTGTCATGGATTGTGGTAACTGATGTAAGTCATTAAATATACAAAGTTTTTCACATCAATGTTTGCTAGCAAATTTTGCAATATAATAATCATACCGTGTTTTTCCAAAAGCACAACTACGGCGAAGGATCCGCTCGAGAACACGCGGCATTACAAGTACGGTATCTTGGATGTTCAATAATAATTTCAAAATCGTTTGCAAGGATACACGAAACAAATCTGAAAAAACAAGGAGTTCTACCTTTGGTATTTCAGAACGAGGAGGATTATGATTTATTGTCAGGTGGAGATTTTATATCAACTATTGGGGTTATTGGATTAGCGCCGGGTAGGGATGTGACAATTAGGGTTAGAAAGGCTAAGAACGAAAATGAGAAGATAGAGGAATTTGATATATTGACCAAACACACAATGTCAGAAGAGCAAATCGAATGGTTTTATAAGGGGAGTGCATTGAATCATATTGCTTCCCTTCAGAGAAATAAATAAGTTCCTTGCACGTAATTCGCATAATGTGAAATTACGCGAACCTGCCTGTCAAGAATGTAAATGTCCTTTAAATTAGAACTGCAATTGTCCCTTCTAAATCAACAGTAAACATAATAAATATACTAATTTTTTTAAAAAATTATTAGCAGAATATAAAATACTGTTTTATTTATTTAAAATAAAAAATTTTTAATGTAAGGTAATTAAAATTACATAGTACTTATAAACAAAATGTAACAATTCTGCTTGAAACTGCCTTTGACTGATTCAAGATCAAATATATTTTTGTTAGATGTATATACTATACAATACTCAAGTCAAATATCATAAGGAAAACTTTATTAAATTTGAAAAAAATCAAATAACTTTATTATTCTTTAAAAAAAACCCCCTTTCTTATGTAAATGTTTTTTAAATATAAATAAATAAAGTAGAAATATAAGTTTAAAATAATATATATAGTATAATCTTATTAATCCTTTGAAGATTATATACATATAATAAAAAGTGAAACAATGAAATAATAAAGCTAATGTTTTATTTTAATTACATATTTTAATATTTTTATAATCCTATAGTAATAATTAAAAAAACTAAATATGGAATGTAAAATTATTGATATTTAAAAATTTATATTAAAATAATGTCAAATATCTTTATGGAATTTATATAATATATAATATAATATATTATCGATTATATGTTGTATATTCTAAATGTTTTAGAAAAATAAAAGATTTATGTTTTGAATATTATAAAAAGATATAATTTAAACTATTATATTTTTATAGTTTTGCTTTTTTTATTAATTTGTTTATATTACTTGTATAATATATTTTGTGTTACTTATTTATTGTTAATACTATTATAGATAAATATAAAACTTTTTAAAATTATTTTAATTTAAAAATCAAAATTTTATAAAATTTTAAAAATATTATCAAATAATATCAAACTATAGGTTTTTAAAAATATAATTTTAATATAATTTCTAAATTATATAATATAATATATTTACTTTAAATTAAACTTATTATTTTTTAAAAAAATTTTTTTTTAATATTTAATATTTTTCTTTTATTTACTTTTATTTTTTTATTAAAATTATTATTATTTTTTTTTAAATCTTTTTTTTTTATTGATATTAATAACCATATTATGATTTTTTTAAAAGGCATATTATATAAAAAAATATGATATTATTGTCAAACAATATAAATTCTAAGAAAAAAAAATATTTTTTTTGTTATTTTTAAACTTTAATTATAACTTGAAAACAAATATATATGTATATATTTGATTATATATTTAAATATCATATGATTTTTAAATAATTAAATATTATTTGAGGTTTAATATAAGATTTTAATATTTTTTTTATTATATTCTTAAATAATAAATAGAAATAGAAATAGTTGAATTATGTTTTTCTATTTTCTATTAAAATTTTTTTAATAAAAAATTATATATAGTAAATTAATTTTGTAATTGTAATTTTATTTTATTTTATTTTATAAATTGATAATAAAATTTAAAGTACATATTTATTTAAATTTTATTGAATTATTATAAATAAAAGAAACAAATAATGAAATACAACTCTTTTCAATTCAATTTATTTATCAATAATAATAATAATAATCTTTAGATATAGTTTATATTTTATTTTTAATCTTATGATAATTCTATTTTATTTTTAATCTTATAATAATTTTTTTTTACTTAATTTTAAATGTGCACTTAAATATCTTTTTTAATATTATTTAATTAATTCTATTCATTAAATAGAAATTGTATATGAGTTAGCATTTAACTTACGTATTATGAATATAGATGAAGTATATATATATATATATTTTTAAATATCTTATATTAACCGTTTTATGTAATATTTGTCTAACTTGTTAAAAAAAATATGAATAAATTCATCAAATGTATTGATTTATAAAGACCAGTAATAATCATGTCACATGTTTTTAAATATTATTAATTAAAAAAATTTTTTTTTTTTTTTTGATTTCACAAACTCTGGTGTAAATATTATCTACTGTCTATACATACACGTATTTATTTATTTACGTGTATTTCTTTACATTTATTAATTTTTACTTTACTGATTATCGAAATTAATTATTTTAAGGGAATAAAGGAATCTTAAATATTGTGAACCAAGATGTTTACATAATAGCGATTTATTGGTTTATTATAGTAACGGAAAAAAAAAAGTTGCAATATTTAATTTATTTCCGGATCTGGATCATTGGTTTAAATCTGCATCCTTTTTCTACTGGATAACGTTATCAAGATACTTATAAAATAGAGAAGACAATAAATAAATGATTTTTTAACACTCTTTATAAATAACCAAAGCGATTTTTTCTCATTAAGCTGAGGTTAGGTTAGCCGCTAGGATTGGAGCAGGATTGTCGAACGTATCAACAATTTCCATTCGTGTCTCGTGGCAGCCGTACGCCGACGGGATTATTTCGATTAAATAATTTCGCGGGATAACAATTCTAGGTATCTCCTATTGTAACATGAGAAGGTGTCATAATAACATAACGGGGAATCATTCATTATGCAACACACGCATCACAACGAATGAACCTACATCTTCGGGACGATCGAACAAGTATGCGTACAAACATTTCAACACCGTCTCGTGCGCAATGATTAGTACATCATTTTTTTCATGCTCAAGTTCCAGGATTGTGGATTCAAGACGAACAGCTAGATCCTGATACGACTTCATAGCAAAAGAATTGGTGGCGTTAAGCGAAAAAAGAATGAGAGATGTTAAAAGGATTTTATGATCCTCGAATACCTCTGCCATAGGATATCGATGATGGTACATGTCTTGTTGTTGCAGTTCATATTCCTCGGGAAATTTTTCCTGTTTGTTGCCACGAATGGATTATTATATTAGTATTCCTTCAAAACTGAACAAATGAGATAATCATGTGGCATCACCTTAATCTCTTCGACGGTCAGCCCATCCACCTCCCCAAGATTAAGTTCGGCCATTAGCGCTCGGTTTATGACAGTATAACCTTCTTCGAAAGGCTTTGCGGTTTGAACGGAACTTTGTCTGGCGGATGTCCATATCTTCGCGGATACAAAGAAAAAAGAGGCGCATCAGCTAGAGAAGGCAATTGATGACTTCATTGGCACTCGTAATAAAAACGAACCGTCAAGGTTCTTTCATCATCACCCCACCCTTGTTCTTTTCGCTCTTTCTTCTCTCTCTCTCTCAAGGACAACAGGAAATTCTTTAATTTGCGTGCATACTCCACACCAGCCGG